TGATGGTGCAAAGGCTCAAGCTATAACAGGGTTCCAATAAGAATGAAATAAATCCAACCACCAGCAATGGTTACTATCCAAGATGGGCAGAAATGGTGTCCTTAGCCTGGGTTTGCCAGAAGCTGGAAATGGACAACTGGGGATAGATCATTTGATGGTTTCCTGTTCTTTTCATTCCTTCTGAAGCAGTGTGACTAGTGTTAACAAGGCTGTCGCAGTCAGGCTGAATGTGACTCATTCCCAGCAATTGATGGGATGTGTGAATACCAAGTGCAGAGGACAAAAGTTGTCCAGGAAACTCACCAACAGAAGGCAGAATTTTGCTTTCAAATGGCTTCACAGCAGATGCAATCCAGAAGTTCTGATAGAGCCATTACACACAGAACCCTGCCATTGGCTTCAGTGCTGAACAACGGAGTAGGAAGGTCCCTGCGATTTGGCCCAAGTGCAGGGGTATCCTCTCTTCTGGCAGTGCAGAACACTGCTCACTGGGCTATTTCTAGTCCAGTTGAATGAGATCCCCCCCCAACCCCCCAGAAATTCCTGCATACAGACCTGGGAGTGATGGTATGTGCTTTTTTTGAAAATGTGGACTGCAACTTTTTTTTAATATAAAGGGGTTCAAAATAGTGTGTAATGAGAGTGCATAAGAGAGATTAATGAAAATTTTGAGTGGAAACAGTGATTTTGTTATAACATACTAAACATTTATACAGTAATAAAGGTTTTATAGAAATTACCTTCTGGGTTCATGATCCCTGGCTCCTGTGGCCATCTTTACCTGCTGCTGCTCTACCTGATGAGCAAGGCCAGTGTCGGGTGAGTGCAGGAAGGGCTTCTGGCCAGCAAGACCAGGCATGGGGCTGCTCCTCACAGGTGGGGGGTGCCATTCCCCCAGCCCTGCTGTGCTGCCACAAGCCTCACCCGCCCATCCTCCCACAACACAGCACTTACAAGAAGTGGAAACTTGGACAGATGACCAGGGGGAGTATATATATATATTGCTTGAGAATGCAGGGGAGTAATCAGGAAAGAGAAAATGCAGTTGAAATTGCATGGTAGCAAGAAAGGTTTCTTATTCTATGTTAGCAATAAAAGGGTGATCAGGGAGAGTGTGGGGCTCTTACTGGATAAGGGAGGTAAAATACAGGGAGTCCCCGACTTATGTCGGATCCGCACTTACGAACGGGGCTTTTCTCGCCCCGGAGCTCACGGGCAGCGGATCGCCACCCGTGTCCTCCAGGGCGAGAAAAGCTTCTCCCGGTCTCCCTGGACTGCTGGGGGGGGCCAGCAAAACCGCTGGACCCCCCCAGCAGACTAGGGACACCCGAGCAAAGCTGCCCAGGAGGGGGG